TGAAATCGAGACAGAACAACTAAATAAAGTGCAAGTTTATCATATGTTTTTTTTTTTGTAAATATGTCTAAGTATGCAAATAAAGCCATATTTAAATCAACAGATAGACTCATATAATTAACCTCAATTTAATGAAAGACCAGCTGTGGAGTACATTATTAAATATTTTACTTAAGTTAAAGTAGTGACACCACAATTTAAAAATAATATGTTACAAGTCAGAAAAAAAGAAGTCCTGCGTTCAGCATCTTAAGTAAAACTCTGTAAGTACTTTCAACAAAATGCACTTAAAGTTTAAAAGTAAAAGAAGTCAGCCTCAGTCAGTGTTACATTGTTACAGAAGCGTAAGAGGCACATCCACTTGGGAAAAAAATCAGCTTTTTTTTTCCTGAATTAAAGACATTATCATCTCAGAATTTGAAGGAAAAAAAATTGGGGAAAAAATATTTGAGGGAAAAAAATTATAAGTACAACATGCAGGTTCAAGGCTGTCCAAAAAACAAACAAAAAAACAAAAACAGGAAAACAAAACAAAACAAAACAGTGTAAATGGGGGAAAAATAACGCCTGTACACTACTCCATGCCACGCAAATTCAATAAAGACAGTGTTTTGGTCCTAGGTAGGACTGAAACGTTTTGTTCGAAACGTAGGATCAAAACAATTTAATTGAAAAGCTGTCTTTATTAAACTTGTGTGGCATGGAGTACAGGCGTTACTTTTTTCCTCAAAAAAATAAATAAATAAAATAAAACAAAAAATTGCCCTGTCTTTCTGGAAAACATGGAAAAACTGCTCTTTCGTCATGGGAAAAAAAGTCAGCTTTTTTAATTAACAAGATAATTATCTTGGTATTTATGAGATTATTTTGGATGAATGACTTTATTTCGAACCAAATATATATAAAAAAAAACATTAAAAAAAAGACAAAGATAACAGTGTCCGAAAAGAAGGTAGACATAAAGAGTATATGTACCTACTCCTTTCCTACATGTCTTCTTTTAACTCATATATTTATTTCAACAAATTCCCAAATTTATTTACAACTAATATACAACTATCCCCAGTCCATTTACCACCCAATTAAGTAAAAAAATTTTTTTAAACTATTACATAAATAGGTAGTAAACCCAGTTTGTTTACAGTCCAAGTACCACCCAGTGTTATATAATATAAATAAATATTCACTCCCCTAACACAACCTTTCCTTATCTATATATCTGCCAAGAATATCTTTTTTGTATAGTTTTTTAAATTGATTTATATTTGTGCTTTGTTTCAACTCATCATAGAGCCCATTCAACAAGTCCACTCCACACTTTTTAAATTAAATTCTCCTCATATATTATAACCACCCCTCCCTGTCACAAAACATTTTTTGAATGTTGCCCAAAAGTGAATTATTTCTCGCTTTAAACATGATTATTGCAGTTTTAACCAAATCCAAAAATGGCTAAAAATGCAAGTGACTTGCAGTAATTACGCAGTAATTGCAAAATAAAAAAATAAAAAAAATGCATGAAAACATTTCTCATAATTATAGGATAATAATCTTGTTAATTCAGAAAAGCAGGGCAAATATTTTTTTCTCAAGTGACTGTGTATCGCTTCCGTACATTACTATATATACTATATTATCATTAGTGATGCATTGACATGTAAAGCAGCATATTAATTTTGTGACTGGCTGGGGTAGAGGTAATTATTATACTCTTTGTAATCAGCAGTGTGTTTTCATTTATGGTATGATCACATAACTGGGGTTAAAACGTTCTGCTGCAATGTAACTTTAGCTGTCAGATAAATATTGTGGAGTAAAAGGTATATTTTCCTTTGTGGAGTAAAAATATAAAGTCACAAAACTTTAAAATATTCTCTTGAGTAGATGTATTTAGTTGCTTTCCGCCACTGTAAAAGATTTAGATCAACTGGTTGGTATAAGCAAATGAAAGAGCGCTGTTAGCCTCCAGACTACATTACCCATGATACCCTCGTGTCATGAACCCTCTCGTGAACCTGAAGATGCTGCTCGACAACACGTCCTCCTCGTTAAATCGCGTTAGACTTTTCATGCGTTACATCGTATATTAATAAATGCATCAAAGCCTGTTCTTCCGTCGTCGTTTATTTAATTTTGACTTCTGTTTACGGCTTTAAACGGGAGCTTTAAAGGACAAAAGCCGAAACAGCCAATGAGCGAGCGGTTTGTTACGGTGTCAGATATTTATGGAGGCCGGGGAGGGTGGGGCGTTACAGATACTCAGGAAATTATTATTCCTCCGTTTATTTTTTCACATTACGTGTGTCCGCTGAAGTGTACCGGGCTTTAAACGCGTCTCGTGTCTCTAAGGTAAGATTTTCTTTTAATTAAAGGTCCCGATATACACGTCGATTTCCGGGGTAGCAGTGAGGGTCGTTTGTCAACACTCTCCTCGGAGGGGGGGCCCGACCGTCAGGCTGATAACATAACGTTAGGGGTCCTTGAGGTGGAGAGCCAATTTGTAAATACGACCGTGTTGACCGTTATAAATGCAGGGTGTCAGTGCGGTTACTAGCTTATTATTACATCTCCCTGAGGCCTGTAGTGTCTGTTGAGTCCAGTGTTGATAACAGTTAGCTACTGTTTGTGCTTTGTTTTAATTAAAGGGAGAAATATACCTCAAACGTTCTCCATAAGTCGTTGTTGTGCGTCTTTTAATGCAACATGTTCATATCAGCTTCAGTGCTAGTTGTGTTATTAAAGGGTAATCTAGGTATTTTCAACCTGGAGCATATTTTCCAATGTTGTGTCTCTAAGTGACGAAGTGACTAACAAACCATGGCACCGGTGACACAGGCTGCAGTGTAACCTATCAGGGCATTTGGCATCATCGCTTTGCGTTCACTAAGGGTGCTTTCACACATGCCCTGTTTGGTTCGGTTCAGTCAAACTCAAGTTCGTTTGCCCCCTAAGTGCGATTTGTTTAGGCAGGTGTGAACACAGTAATCACACTCAGGTGTGCACCAAAACAACCAGACTAAGACCTTCTTGAAGAGGTGGTCTTAGTCCGGTTACAGACGAACTCTGGTGCGGTTCGTTTGTGGTGAGAACATGTTCCGACCTGGATCTGAACCAACTGCAGTCACATGACACATTGTTTGGGTTAAACATGAGCGTGTTACAGTCCTGGAGGATTATTAATGTGCACCTCCTCCTGTACTGCCTTAATATGCACATTCAGCACATCCAATGCATCAAAACATTGTTTTCTAGTTGGAGCCGCGCCTCGTTTTCAAACTGTATGGTTTGACTAAAATGAACAATGACAGCAATATAGTCCACGATGAGCAGAGCTAAAATCAACCTGCGTAGTTGTCCCTCCATTGTGACATTAGAAAGTGTCACATTTATCTTGCAAGTGTACTCTTCTTCAACGTTTGGTTTACTTCCTGGATTTTTCCCGCATGGGAATTCTGACCAATCAAGAGCAGCTTTCTCACACAAGGCATTTGATCTGGTCCGCTTGTAAATGCTGCCGTGAGAACACGTACCAACTCTAGGCAATTATGCAACTCTGGAACAAAATTAGTCCCTGATTCAGACCAAAGCCATTCTCGGAACCCATCGGCTGTATTCAGCATGTGACTTCCGGCAGACGGCGATACAGCCTCTGGGTGCAGACCCCCGATTTTTTGGCATAACGGTTTGATTTGGGTGGAGGAGGCGAATTTCCCTTTCCGACTTCCGTTTATATGTAAGTAAATATGCTGAACCACTGCGATGGATTCAGAGTCTGCAGTGACGCCAATTATGTTCCGCCTCGTTAGTTCACCACACGGACTGTTTAACCTGGCAACAACTGCAGCTGGCTCAAACGTGATTGGTCAATATCACGCGGACTACAAACAGCCTACAACCGGAAACCAGGGCTCTTCCACTCTTCTTCCGGAGGCAAGATCTCCGGGGTTTGCCTACAGACTCTACATTCACTGAATGTAGAGTCTGTATATAGAGACTAGACCAAAGCAAGACAACTCTGGGCCTGATAGCACCCTAAATGTGCTTGTTTTTGTCACTGGCAGGCTCAGATTGTTTCTGACAACAAATCAGAAGTGTCTGACAACATTATGGAGAGGATCCTTACAGAGATAGACCTCATTGTTAAAGAGTCGGATCCTTTTTGTTTAACCAGAAACAGTCCTAAAATCACCATCACTAAACCCACCAGACTCCATTTAAATAAACAGTAGCCTGATTGTAGTGTGTATAGAGCCAGCATATTTTCACATCTAACTGGGTGTATTAAGGGTTTACTTAAACCAAACCAGAGCTGGTGATTGTTGCAACAGTGAAAGACGAATCAAGATGGTTTTTGTGAGTTTTATTTTGTTTCTGTTAACTTTAAATGAAGTTTGTTTTACAACGCTGGTTATTTATATGGATTCTGGTTTGTTTGACGATAGAGATTTCAGGGCTGTTTCTCGTTAAACAAAAAGGATCTTACTCTTTCACTAAAAGGTCTATCTGTGTAGGGATCCTTTCTATAATGTTGTCAGACACTTATAATAACAATCTGAGTCTGTCAGTGGCAAAGACAAGCATTTTTGGTTGATGTAAATTGACCATGCCAAACACATAGTGGTTAGATTACAGCCTGTTGCACAGCTGTCAGCTGCAGCGTTCTCTCTCAATACTGGACCGATTTCAAAAGTTGTTTTTCCCATTAGTGACTTAGACAAAAAAACATGGGGAATTAGACCAAATCACAATGTTTACAACAACTTCTGGGTTGAAATGAGCAAACGCTGCCTCACTTTGTTAGATTTCTAGCCACCTAAAAAAAAGGCCCACCTAAAAATTCAATATCAATTTAAGGATAAGCTATATTTACAATATTTTCACCAGGTAATGTTGCTGTCAGAGTGATTTCAGATGAGGAATTGATGCCGTTATCTCAAAGCTCTCAGACTCCGTTGATAAAAAATAGTAATTTTACTTTATTTTACTTTAGTTTCTGGTCTACTGCTGCCTTGGACACTTTGTGTTTAATGTAAAGCAGTGAAAATATCACAAATTTAGTGAACACTTAAGCTGATATGGATTTTTTTAGGTGGCTGATGTATGTTTTGCAGCAGCCCCTGTCTACAGCAGTACATTGTATAGCTTCCGGTAGACTTGGTTTTTCCAAAGACAATAGCAAAACAAAACAGTACATAAAATAAGCACAGCAGAAACACCAGATAGGTCAGACCTTTGAGTTTAACTATATAAATGTTATGGCTGAAAGTGACAATAGAAATAAACAAGTCTGCTGATTTCACAGATCTCCGCAATTCAAATCAGTTGCTAGTTGTCTACCTGGAAGTTTTATTGCAGCGTCACGATGATTCGATCTATAGGGTCCAGGTTGGAAAATAACTTACCCTTTAAAATCAGGTACATTACGGTTCTAATAATCCTATCAAATCTGAATCAAACCCCAGTCACTGAGAGAGTTATGACTGATGTGTGTTCAATCTAATCGTTGTCTGTATTCCCTTTGGTTTTCAGGAGTGACTCATGGTCACCCAACAGACTCAGTAATGAAGAAAAAGCCTAATAATCCTGTGCGTCCCAAACGCAGCAGGCAGGTTAGTGCCAGCAATGAATGTGCCACAGAGCCGGGTGCTGTGCTTGGCTCCACTGCCCTAGCAAACTCTGAAACTGTCCCAGAATCAACCTCACAGATCAGGCACCTGACTATGCCGCAGCAAAGCCACAACCTCCTCAAGTTCTTGAATGAGGACCGGACCCGACAGAGGTTCTGTGATGTGTCTGTGTCTGTGGGTGGGAAACTCTACAGTGCCCACAAGGTGGTGTTGGCCCATGGGAGCAGCTACTTCCACGCTGAGCTGTCTAAGAACCCTGCTACAGCGCATGTGACTCTGGACCATGTGGAGGACTCTGTGTTCCAGCAGCTGCTTGGCTTTTTGTACACCTCTGAGTGTGTTGTCACAGAGACGGACCTCCCCGCTCTAACTGAAGCAGCTCGATTTCTTGACATGATGGATATACTAAAGCTGCTCTGTAAAGAAGGGGACAACAACCCAGTACGAGCGATCCAAGCACAGGATGAGGTAAGAGGATCTCCTGAAGTTGAAATGACTTCAGGTGACTCGCCAGATGGTGACACAGACACCCAGAGCCCGTGTGATGCTCAGTGTACCATGAGCAGCCGCCCCTTTGGCACTGAAGACCTGCACAACGCCGTGGCTGAGAGTCAAACTGAGGCACAGCAGGAAACCTCGACGGAGAAAGAGAAGACGGCAGCTCAGAGAACGGCTACCACGCGGAGATCAGCTCGGAGGAGGAGAACACCCACCAAGTATCTGAGAGACAACGTGGAGTACACTATCGACACTCCCGAGGAAAAACAAAGCAGCGTGTCACCAAGAGAGCAAGATGAAGTAAGAACGGAAGAAGCAGGAAAAGTGGTTGTGGAAAACCAAGCGCCCAAACTGGACCTGAACGAGACATCTAAAGCATCTCAGGGGGAAGATGTCGCAGACGAGGAGGAGGAGGAGGAGGGAGACATGAATGAGGACGTGGTTCTCCAGAGAAAAGTTGTTGAGGTTTGCGCAGCAGACAAGAGCGCAGGTCAGCAGGGTTCAGATGTAGAGAGGACAGAGCGCCAGGCTGATGGAGAGGTTGAAGTCAATATGCCAGCAGGAAGCTCTACCCAGAGTCCAGTGTACCCTGAAGGTCTGGCTCCAGTCATCATCCAAATTTCCAGCAAGAAGACTCTCAAGTGCCCCAAATGTAACAAGACCTTTGACCGCGCAGGTGAGTCTTAGATTAGAGCTGCAGCGATTAATTGATTATTTGTCAAACATTAAAATAATCGCAAACTAATATGATAATCAATTAATCATTTGGATAATTTTTAAAGGAAAAAACAGTAAGAATTGTCCGATTCACACTTAGTGAATGTGAATATTTCCTGGTTTCTTTACTCCAGTATGACACTAAACTGAATATCTTTTGGTTGGGGACAAAACAAAACATTTAAGGACATCATTTTGGGCTGTAGGAAACACTGATCGACATTTTTCACCATTTTATAGACCAAACATTTAATCCATTAATCCAGAAAATAATCGATAGATTAATCAACAAATAAAATAACAATAAGTAGTAGCCCCAGTGTAGATTATTAGTGTTATAATTCATGTAGTAGAGGTGCAAATAATATTTATTTTCATTACTGATTAATATGTTGTTATTTTTATTCTTTATTTTCAATTAACAGCTTCATCATTTGGTCAATGAAATTTCAGAAACTGGTGAAACATGCTCAACACAATTTACTACAGTGCAAAGATTATTTGCTTCCAATCAAAAAGATATTCAAATTGCAATCATATAAAATAGAAAGAAAAACAACAGCACATTCTCACATAGGCTGTAACAAGCAGATGTTCGGCATTTTTGCTTGATAAATGACAATTTTAAGAAATGTTTATTAGTTTTCTACCTGTTCTTCCTGTCCCCAGTAAAAGGAGGATTAGACTGAATCATTTAAACAGCAAATTTTCATTTTGTCTGTCATCTGTCGCCACTGACAGAAACTCTGAAAGCTGTGGTTGTGTTTGGCGGAGTTAAGGCTCCCCTTCTGTTTTATCATATTTAGAAACACAGCAGATTTCCTTCAACGGGATGGACACTCAGTTAAATTCATAGTCATAGCAGTGCCATGACATTAAAGCAATACTTCAACCCGGAAAAAGATTATTTGTATATCAGTCTCTCACCTCGTGTTACATTGAATTTGTGAAGGAAAATTCTGTCATGACTCCACGGTGAACAAAGAATCCAAAAACAGAGAAAAGTCTTGGTGAATTGCAGTAACAGAGGGCTGCGTTTAACAACAGCAAAACTATGTCAAACATCTGTTAAAAAACTCTCGAACAACTCTTGCAGTATAATCAACACATTCTCATTTGGACCTCGTCACACATTGACGTTTGGTCATAGACTTTCCACGTCCACATGCGACGTGCAATTATATGACAAGAAATTTACGTTGATACAACACTGCGAATTGACGTTTTTTTTCCATCAACGACAAACACACATAAGCCCCTTTTACACTGCCAGATTTTCCACGAATGTTGGGCCGTTTTGTCGGCAAGCTGTGAGCGTTTAGACACACAGAGCCTTTAAGTTTAAACAGAACGAGGCGGCCTTCCGCAACGGGAGGGGCTGTTAAAGACTTGTGGGTCACTGTTTACGTCACACGCTGAGCTACACATTTTGTTACTTGCTGACGCCCCCCATTGCCCCGAAAATGGTGCATTCTGTATAAACAAAAGTAGGTAGGCGGCATTTTGCCGCACTCCCCGATTTTGTTTTTATACCGCCAATGCTGAAAAAAGACTGATTGGGCTTTCCTGCAAATTTGCACAATTCCTATCTAAACAGGGCTTTAGTTGGGTTTAGGAAAGTTGGTGAAAGTCGGTAGTTGTTGGACCCATCCACCACCACTCCCAACGCCCCACTCTGACTTTAAATTCATCAAGAGTTTTCTCCATCTTTTTCTCTGGTTTTTGGATTCTTCGTTCACTGTGAAAGCATGTGAGAAAAGCAAAGTTTTCTTTATGAAATCAAGCTAGCACAGGGTGACGCATTGATACACAAATTATTATTGTGTAGATAAAGCATTCCTTTAATTACATCAATGTCTCACGTGTTACTGAGACAATACATTAACTGATGCACCGTCCTGTATATTTTAGGGAAGTATGAGAGTCACACCAGAGTTCACACCGGAGAGAAACCATTCCAGTGTGACATCTGCCTTCAGCGCTACTCCACCAAGTCTAACCTGACCGTACACAAGAAGAAGCACGCCAGCAACGCTCCCTTCCAGAAGAAGGAGCACAAATGCCCCTTCTGTAACAAACTCCATGCCAGCAAGAAAACCCTGGCCAAGCATGTGAGGAGGTGAGACGCTGCAGTGACACTATTTTATGCTCGTTTGTTCAGATATTTCATTCTTGACCAAAGTGGTCGGCTGGCTGACATTAGCATCCCTAGAATCATGTTGCTAGCATGGCTGAAAATTTACAGTTTAACCTCCTAACGCATGAGTGGTACTGGGTGTAGTATGAGTAGAAAGTTTCAGTCAGGGGGGAGATTTGTAGTACACTTTCTAGTGTGGTGAAATTTGGAAATATACTGTATGTGTTCATTTTGGTTGCTTTGTGATTCCTAAGTTTGAAAAAACAAATCTAGAGCTAACTCTTCATAACTTCTCTATGATGTGGTTGCTACAGTCATATTATATAATGATGAGGTCATGTATTTTTACTGTCCTGCCAGGCTTCATCCAGACCACATCCAAGAGTTTCTTACCAAAAGGAAGAGGAAGAGTGAAGGCTGGAAATGTGCTGTAAGAATTCGTAACAGTCATAGAATTGCCTGATTATGCAAGTTGATCCTAAGTAGATGATGAATAATGATAAATAAATACATTTTGCAGTTAATACATGTTAATTTGAACTCTGTAACCTTTGACTCTTCTGAATTAGATTTGTCTGAAGACTTTCAGCCGCAGGCCTCATCTGCAGGAGCACATGATCCTGCACACCCAGGAGCGGCCCTTTAAATGCTCCTTCTGTGACGAATACTTCAAGTCCAGGTTTGCCAGGCTGAAGCACCAAGAAAAAAATCACTTAGGTGAGAAATTTACAGAGAATATTAATACTTAAAGGGACAGCTCACCCCAAAATCAAAAATGCTGTTTTTCTTTTTACCTGTGGCGCTATTTATAAATCTAGATTGTTTTGGTGTGAGTGGCAGAGTGTTGGAGATATCAGCCGTAGAGATGTCTGCCTTCTCTCAAAAATAATAAAACTAGATGTCACTCAGCTTGTGGTGCTCAAAGTGCAAAAAATACATTTGAAAAACTCAACGAGATGTCAACATTAAGCGCACTGGCCTCGGCTGAGTTTCAACGTTAGCTAGCTCAGTGGTGCTAGGTGTGCTAACAGTAGAACAGTAGCACACTTCTTCCTGCGCAGTTATATGGTTGGTGGGCGAAGTTTGGTAGAAGGAAAACAGCTCACAACAAGGTCTGTGGATTAACTTGAGTAACCAGGTCATAATATCTGTAAAGAGACATTGCTGCTGAATTTTTAAAATGTAAAGCCCTTAGGTCTTCAGGTGATCTGCTGCTTGAAGTGCCCAGATCAAGGCTTAAAACTAAAGGCGACCGAGCATTTTCAGTGGCTGCTCCCAAGCTCTGGAATAGCTTGCCATTGCATGTTAGACATGCAGAATCCCTGGGAAGATTTAAATCATCGTTAAAAACTCACCTTTTCTCGTTAGCTTTTGAACCCGTTGTGAGCCAGACTTGACTCTGTGCAATATACGTATGCTCTGTCTCAGGTTTTTTTTTTATGTGTAATTGATGTTGTTTCTAACTGTTTGTTGGTTTTTATATTTGTTTCTGTTTTTTTTTGTTTGTTTTTGTATTTTGTATCTGTTTTTATATTTTGGTATTTATCATTCTATTTATGTGGTATTGTAATTTTCACAGTGTTCTTGTAAAGCACTTTGGTGACTTCTGTCTTTTTAAATGTGCTATAGAAATAAATGTGACCTTGACCTAAAGCATTTTTTGAGCACCACAAGCCGAGTGCCATCTAGTTCCATTATATTGGAGAGAAGGCAGACATCTCTACAGCTGATATCTCCAACACTCAGCATCTCACACCAAAACAATCCAGACTGATACATATTAAAACAGAGAAAATTTAAGATGTCATTAAAACCTTTAAATGATGTCACAGCTGTTACTGTGAATCATGTTTCTGTAGCATTCGATGTGTAAAAGTTGATGTAAAAGTTTGTATCCTTTCTCATATTATGTATATCTCAGGTCCTTTTCCATGTGAGATTTGTGGCCGACAGTTTAATGACACAGGCAACAGGAAGAGGCACATTGAGTGCACACATGGAGGCAAAAGAAAATGGACCTGCTTCGTTTGTGGGAAATCTGTAAGAGAAAGGTACGTCTCTCTGTCCCTACACTCCCCCAACTTTTTCCTTATTTCCAGAACTCTTATTTTGTAAAATCATGTCTTACCTGCGCTGCTTTATTGAGAGATGTGTGTTTTTTTCCCCCTCTAGGACCACTTTGAGGGAGCACCTGAGGATCCACAGTGGGGAGAAGCCTCACCTCTGTAGTATCTGTGGCCAAAGTTTCCGTCATGGCAGCTCCTACAGGTAAGGCTGCGGAGATTTGAAAAATATGAATGAATGAATGTTTCAAGCTCTTGATTTTTAGAGCTGCTTTTAATAAGCAAACTGTACCTTTGGACAGGCTCCACCTCAGAGTCCACCATGACGACAAGCGCTACGAGTGTGACGAATGTGGGAAAACCTTCATACGCCATGATCACCTGACCAAACATCAGAAAATACACTCTGGTACGGTATAAGAACGACAACGGTTGCACTACCTTTTCATTCCGCTTTGTCTCATTCACACATTTGATTTTGTTTCTTCTTATAACGCAGTAAAGTCAGAAATACTGTTAACCTTTCACTGTCTGCAGTCTGCATTTACTTTAACTTAAAGGGATAGATTTTTTTAAGTAGGGTTGTATGAAGTACTTATCCATAGTCAGCGTATTACCAACTGTAGATGACAGTCAGCACGCCCCCAGTTTGGAGAAGCAGACAGGAAGACAGCCAAGGAAGCTAAGCGATGAACTGCTGTGGACAGTGGCAGCAGCAAAACATATTTAAGCCACCACAAAATCCACAAAACTGCCTACAAATCAATAACCGTTTAAGTGTACACTGTATTTAAAATATTTTCACTGTTTAACCTTGCTGTTCGACAGCCCTCTCTGACGGGCCACTGGACTGCCTTCAAGCCAGACTCTATTAGCGAAAACAGTAATTTTACCACACTGAACACAGGAACTGCTGGTCTACACCTGCCTGCCTCAATCAGTTAGTTAGTTAGTGTTATTGTATTACTATGGTGTTTCAAAGAGTTAGTTTGGACACACAAAAGTCACACAGTAATGCAAAGAACTGATTGTGGCAGCAGTTGACGAGCAGCTCCAGTGTGACAGTGACGTTAAGGGGTGAAGTATAGTGCACACTTAATGGAAAGCTAGAGCACTAAAGCACTGAAAATCTTGTAAATTTAGCAAACACTTAAACTGATTTTGATATTTTTAGGAGGCTCAAATATGTTTTGCTGCTGCTGTCCTCATCCACAGCAGTACATTGCGTAGCTGCTGTGTCAGTACTCCTGCCTTCTTCTCCAAACTGGGGGCATGCCAATTGACATCTACTGTATGTAATACACTGACTATGGATGAGTACCTCGTACAACCCCTCTTCTAAAAATCCAACCCTTGTGTATTACAGGTGAGAAAGCACACCAATGTGAAGAATGTGGGAAGTGCTTCAGGCGCCATGATCACCTGACGGTCCACTACAAAAGCATTCATTTGGGAGAGAAAGTGTGGCAGAAGTATGTTATCATACAAATCAGTTATTCTCTGTTTGGCATAGGTGGTAATATTTCCCTTAGCTGCTCTTGTGTTCTTGCTTTCTGTCCTTACTAATAATGACTTTGTTTACAGATACAAAACGGCTTTGCATCAGTGTGAGGTTTGCAAGAAAGAATTTAAAGGAAAGTCCAGTCTGGAAATGCACTTCAGGACCCACTCGGGTATGGAAACAAAAACGTCAATGGATATATTTGCTTGAAAACACGTATGAGAGCAGAGAGTGAAGTGCTGTAAAGTTTGGTTGATTCAAAACACATTAAACATGGCTTAACAGCGACAATTTCAAACACAAGTACACAAATCAGCTTCACTATAACTCGCAGCATTCACAGACAAACCCTTGTCTTTATCTGGACACATTTTCCCCACAAATACAACATGCTAATGTTTTTAGCACAAGCCTATGGCATTTTACATTATATAAATTAGCCTAGCAGCTAGCAGATTTTTCCTGTTCTCACATGAACCCAGGGACAACAGCAACATTTAACAAAAGTAACGTTACAAAATTCAGCTCCATTAGAGCTCACAAGGTTCACCGACAAAACACCTGTCTTATACTAAACACGTTTTCTAAACAAATATAACATGCCAACATTATTAGCACGCCTTGTGGTATTTATCTAAATGTGTTTTTTTGAGCTTCTCTTTTGTCCACTCGACAGGTGAGAAACCCCACAGATGTCCCGAGTGCAACCAGACATTTCGGATCAAGAAGACCTTGACAAAGCACATGGTGATTCACTCAGACGCTCGTCCTTTTAACTGCCCCCACTGCAGCGCCACTTTTAAACGAAAAGACAAGCTGAAGTACCACGTCGACCACGTGCACAGCAACCGCTTTACTGAGCAGCCCCTCGGCACACTCAGCGAGGTCAAAATAGTCACCATTCCTTTTGAGGAGCCCTCTAAGGTATACCGCGCTGAACCCAAGTCAACCCTCCAGAGCACCCCTCCTCCTACAAACGTCTGCGTGCCCGTCACTTTAGTTCCTGTCCAGATGGCAGCAGGAGCACAGGGTAACCTCAGCACTCACAGAGCCTCATCCATCTCCTCCCAAACTCACAGTGTGGTGAACATGCAGACTCAAGGACAGCAGCAGAACTCTGGCTATCAAGCCGCCACAGAACTGGCGTTCTTAGAAAAGTACACCCTCACTCCCCAGCCTGCCAACATCGTCCACCCAGTGAGGCCCGATCAGATGCTGGACCCCAGAGAGCAGTCGTACCTGGGGACGCTGCTGGGACTGGATTCAGCTTCCTCTGTGCAGAACATCTCCAACTCTGAACACGCACACTGATGCTCCAGCAAAACTCAGCCCTCAAGGCACAGTCCAACAAACTTTAACACTCATTTAATGACAAGAACAGAAGCTCCAGTATTCACCACTAAAATGTGTTCACACTTTAAGAAAGAGGGCGACTATGTTCTCCCTGTAAAATAATGAAATATAATACAAAAACTACACAACAGCTCTAGAGTTATTAAGCTCTGTTACGGCACAGGATGTTCAGACAGGAAACACTGACACCACACAAATAAATGCATTTGTGTGACGTGTTAAAAAAGAGAGAAACTGTGGATTTAAACAGGTTTTTCTGTTGTCATGACTTTTACCTTAACACCAAAAAAACACAGAGGTAAAACTGAAAAAGACAGGTGGGCTGTTGTTTTTTTTTCAGTGTATGAAATGAATAAGTATATTTTCCACAAATGGATGTTGGATGATTTTATACAGTGTGTTAGACTCCATCTTTTAAACATTACTTCACCACTTGTCAGCAGGTTCCTGTCAACATGAGTCTCTGGTTCTTACTGAATGGTTTGATTTTTGAGTTGCACAGATTAACTTGCTTTAATTGTATTGTATTATATTGTATAGAGACGGAGCGGTTTGTTTTTTAAGGGGTCAGATAAGTTGCAGAAAAGTGACTGACGACAAGTTTGATGAATGAATCACTGAAATCATTTCTCAGTTCTCATGTCTCGATTTTAGTTGTAGTAACTTATGATAAATGGTTGCTCTTTAAAAAAGATGGCCTAAACAATTAATTGGTTTACCAAATAAATGAATAGATATCCACAGGTTAAATGATTCTAAAACAAGTCAGTACCGGCAGCCTTTTAATACTGAGTAAACCTAAAATGTGGCCTTATTGTAATTTGTGTACTGCCTGTACAATGTGTCACTTCAAAATCATTGGTGCGCACAAGTTATTTATTTAATGGGAACGAGTTAATCATCTTGTGCGCACAAGATAAAAAACAGATACTCAGAAAAAGATCACGTTTTGGCTTAAAATGCACAGTTTGGTTGCCACAGACACGGCTGGAAATGTTCAGATATGTTTTTCAAAAAATACCCAGTTGTGTCATGGCAAACGCGGTTGGAAAAATGTCCCAACGTGATGTTGAAAAATACCCGGTTTTGACCTGGAAAATATGACTGGAGATGTCCTGACATGTCATTAAAAAATACCCAGTTTCATCACAGCAAACATGGCTGGAAATGTCCCAACATGATGTTTAAAAATACCACGTTTTGTCCTGGCAGTCACGGCTGGAAATGTCCCAATATTGCGTGAAATAATACCTGGTTTTATCACCGCAAACACAACTGAGAATGTCCCGACTTCTCATTAAAAAATACCTGGTTCTGTTGCAGCGAACACCACTGGAAGTGTCCCAACATACTGTTAAAAAAATACCCGCTTCAATCGCAGCAAACATGACAGGAATTGTATTATTAAAAAATACCCAGTTTTGTTGCAACAAACAAGGCTAGAAATGTGTTGTTAAATAATACCTGGTTTTGTCACAGTAACCGCAGCTAGAAATGTCCCAACCTGTTCTTAAAAAATACCTGGTTCTTTCAAAGAAAGAAAAACGCCTGAAATATTTTGTTAAAGAAAGATAACCCGGTTTTGTCGCAACAAACAAGACTAGGAATGTATTTTTAAAAAAAATACCTGGTTGTGTTGTGGCAGTCACAGCTAGAAATGTCTTGACATATCGTTAAAAAATACCCAGTTCTGTCGAAGCAAACATGGCTGGAAATGTGTTTTTAAACAATACCTGATTTCGTTGCAACAAGTAAGGCTAGCAATGTGTTGTGAAATGATACCTGGTTTTGTCGCAGCAACCACAGCTAGAAATGGCCCAACCTGTTTTTGAGAAATACCTGGTTTGTTTGTCTCAAACAGTGGTCTGCTGCTGTCGGCTTCTTACACCATCCCCTGATTTGAAACCCACCTTATATACATGTAATGTGAACTACGTTAATTTTTAAAGATTGATATGTATGAAACATAGAAATGTTCCTGCTGGGATTGTGCACCCCAAACTGGGTATTATAAGACAAAACATGATCTTTTCCTACCCATAACCAAGTGGTTTTTGTGCCTAAACCTAATCACACATTCACCACAGCATAGTAAAGTTTTAACATCTCTGCTACATAATAACATGCAAATGTAACATATCCGTAGTTTACAGAAATGTACAAGCCAGAATTGTATTCTGTCGACTGAGCTGCGGAGGTTTTGGGTTTGTTATTGTGATGCAACAAGGGAAGATTTTTTTTCTTTTGCTGTGTACGTACGAGCACAATGATTAGAGGTCACTGTACTAATGTATGTGCAAGAACCTCTTTTTAAATACACTTGTTAAATCATGTAAAATGTGATTTAAAAGGCATTTTGTTGATCGGAAAATAATCTGTTTTTAGGAACTAAGGAGCAGAAAAAGAGATGGAGATTGTAAAGACAAATGTTAAGATATCACATGTGGTAAAGTAACGGCTGCATCCTGGTGTGGTTTTGCTGGTGGATTTCAGATATGTGACAGCTGCACAGTGGACATTTGTCCACACACTTAATTGTTGGATTTCATCTTCACATTCTGAAACAGTTGTGATGCTCTTCTCAAACTCTGTGTCATGATCAATAAAATCAGTTGTAAAAATATTAATGTTTTTGAGTTATTCGGCCTGTAACAGACTGGCAGCCTGACTAAGATGTACCCTACCTCAGAGAGTCACCAGTCACCTGTAACCTTGAACAGGAGACGCTGATATGGATATTAGATTGACTGATGAATTTGGGGCCCTTTGGACACAAAAACTTCAACACAATTTAGAAAGAACAGCGTTGAAACCTCAGCAGAAGACTTTATTGAGGCCTGCATGTCAATTACACACCATATTTAAATGTTGAGTTAATTTTTGCAGCTTTAAGCACAGCATTGCTTCTAAATGATGTAAGCAGATTAATATAAAAACACAGTGTGTAACAGCATAATCGTAACTTAGTCGTCTCTGAAAGGTTTCCAGGCTGTTTTCAGTCGGTGGTGAGCAAATCCAAAGGTGGCAGTTATCTTCCTCTTGGTGAAACAGCTTTAGCAAATGTCCTGGTGACGGGACAGAAACAATATTGTAAAATATAATATAAATAAATCACTGCATCGCTATAAATGTAAAATGAATAAACAGAAGTACTGTCAGCGTAAATATCTACTGTTTCTTTAACCCTTTGAAACCTTCTTTTAAAAACATGGGAAGAAGGAAGAAGAGCAACATAAGGAGGAAAGAAAATTAAAAACAAGAAAATTTAAAAAAAAAAAAAATAAAGTTAAAACAAACTAAAAAGGAAATGACCTTGAAGAATGCTTAAAATTAAATAAATCAATAAATAAATTAATAAACATAGTTTTTTCCCCCTAGTTTGTTTGATTGTTTTTTTTCTACATCTAAAGCTATTAATTTTTTTGCAATTTTGGGACATTTCTGACCAAGTTGCTTATTGCCGATTTTTTATTTATTTATTTTTTTCATGTTTTTGAAAGGAATCGCATCAATTTGCTCAGGGTTCAAAGATTTAAATGCTTGTAAAAGCGATGTCGCCTCAGCTTTCGAATGGTTAAAAAGTAGGACACTACTTTTTACACTCACCCTCTTCAGGTCCCACCAGTCACAACCTGGAAAAAAAAATAGCATTAGCATTAGAGACTCAAGGCTGATGTTCACTTTGAACGATCACTGAACAAGCACCGTTCCCTCGCAGTGAAAGGATCTGAGAGGCTGGGCCACACTGCCTACCTCTACCTGTGCGTGAAGGCTACCTCGCTTAAACTGCTGGTGTGTCCACACAGACAGCGTTGCTGCTGCGGCGCTACTCCCTGCCGCCCCATCTTTCAATTTAATTTGCCTTTCGTAATTACCATCAATATTCTATAATTAAAGCCTTTTGTCAACAGATGAAGGGACTCTGTCCACAGATACGCAAGAGAGCATTAAATGTGAAACCATTAGGGGTGGGGGGAAAAATAGATACAGTATAGTATCGCGTCATTTTGCATAGCGATAATGTGTCGATACACGGATGCCACGAAGTGTCATCTTTTATTATGTAAATCATTAATCTTTGCAAATACACGTTTTAATACAACTTTTGGTACTAGAATAATAAAATCAACTGCTTTATCAGGCCACTAGATGGTGCTGATATTTTTTTCCTGGTGAGGTCAGCAGAGGTCTCAGTCAGGAGCATTTGGCAGGAGGTTCATCAAAATCTGAACACTTGGATTTTTTAAATGCAGAAGGAAAGAAGGAATTGGATATGACACTTGCGATTTGCAAACAGTGTCATATGAGACTAAAATACTAGAATACTATGAACATGAGGGCTCACCTCACACGCCGCCATCCAGAGATAGCGTTACTCATTGATGGGCAAGCTAATGCTAAACTTGCTCTGCCGAACAATCAACCAATGCTGGACACACTTAGGTCAACAAAACTACCATCCAACTCTGAGAGAGCAACAGAGAAGAACACAGCCAACGCCAACTTCACGTGCAAAGATCTGCGTTCATACAGCGCTGTTGAAAACCAAGGCTTTTGTTACGTGCTAAAAACACGTGAACCCAGGAATGTGACTCTGTCCTGACGGTTTTTCACAGACACAGCTGTACATAAGCTCTGCGTAAAGCTGAGGAATCTTTGAGTACAGCGGGAATGGTGGCATTAACTTGTGACATCTGGACTTCAAGGTCAGTGGATTCATATGTGACTATAACGGCACATTATCTCACAGACTGAAAGTTTATCTTAAGTTTTCCTTTGGGGAAATAATTTTCAGTTAGAAGGTAACAAATTGCATTTTATCGCAATATATTGTATTGCAGTGCTCAATATTGCAATAATATCGTATCGAGAGTCCTCTGGCGATTCCCACCCCTGGAAACCAACCAGTTAAAGGAAAATATTTATATATTTTTTCATGTCTGTGAGTTATTCTGTAGTGAAAGGTGCTGGCATGATGTCAATGTGATTATCAGTGGATCGTTTTTGCTGCTTGTGCTGACATAATTTGTAAAAAAGCTTAAAGTGATACTTACATCTGGAAAGTGTCTTTCTTCCATTATTGCAGCGAGCCACAGAATAATGAGTCGTCCACCATCGCTCCTGATGCACACATTCCAATCTCGCCTTCTCACCCTCTTTTATATATTTAACTCCAGCAGGTATTAATTCAGGATAGTCACCAGTGTCCACAGAACAGAAGGCAGCTGCACAAAAGGAACAATAAAAAAAAAAAACTGTTAACTTTTTTCCAGCTACACTCTTTGACATCCTTTAGACTCGATTTGTTTTTACCTTTGCAGGTGGGTGTTTCTGACCATTTCCCGTTGCTGTAACACACCACACTCTGTGGACCCGTTCGTTTGTAAAATGCAGCACACTGGTACCTCAAAAACATTGGATTGTTTTCCACAACATCACCATTAGGAACTACGGGGTGATTTCCACAGGTCCTAACTGAAATAAAAAATAAATAAATAAAAAGGTTTATTGAAACAAATATGTCAAGCCGGTAACTTAAAATTTCGCCTCATATTATGATTCTCTCAGCTTTTTACTGGCTTCCTCGCTGACGGACCTAATCTCTCCCCACATCACACAATACTGTTGCCATGCCATGGCTGTAGATTCATCGCTGTAATTAACTAGTCAGAAATTGTTTTAAAAAATGAACAAACATTTTTGACCAAATAACTCTGAACTGACTCTTTGGTAAGTCCCGCCTCTGGATGCAGATTGGCCAATCATAACGTAGCATTGGGCCGGCTCAGACCAGGGTCAGACAACAACACAGCTGTGCTCCTCTAATGCAGTCGTGTCAGATTTCCTTTATTTTCAGGCTGGTTTTGTGGATTTGGAGCTAAATGTTGTGCCTGGGGCACGTCGTGTATTAATGATACTCATTACCTGGAGAGGTTGGAAAACAATATACGTTTCTTCCCTGTTCCAAAACCAAAATCAAACCCTGAAAAGTGTAGGGTTAGCTAGCTAGCTACTGAAGATATAGCCTACTGAATGTATACACATGCTGCTTTTGCTTTGTAATGATTATAACAGTGAATAAAGACCCACCCTGCTGTACAGGAACCAGTGAAGGGAAGCAGGGAAACTTTGCTGATATTCTACCAGTTGTGTGTCATCGCAGTGTGTTTGACTTCCCCCAGAGATCCACGCCAAACACCGTTCATCGACACACACTGTGATGACACACAGCTGGTTCAATATCAGCAAAGTTTGCCTTTATATTTATTGTGTTGTGTGGCGATCAGCAGTGAAGTGGTGGTTCACTTTTACACTGTGATCTGTAGCCTGTAGTTTGTTATTTTAACCTGTTGTTGCTGCTGAGTCAGTTTGACATCCTGGATATATCCTTCAAACACAGACTGTAGACCCCTCTGTCTGCTTCTCTCTGGAATCACTGTTTCATTTTTTCAAAAATATGATCATATGTCTTCAGGGAGTGCAGTTAGTTACAGTGTGGGCTCCATGCTTACATCCATCACAAAGGGGCGGGGCTTAGCAAAGAATGCACCTGCCACATTGCCATTGTGAATGTTATAATCCTGGTTCAGCCATGTAAACCACTTTAGTTTTGAAACCTGGTGTAGAATTGAAGTTTTTTAGATTATGTAAGAGAAAAAATGAATCAACTTATTTACTTGTTGTGATCTGAAGTTGAGTCTCTTTCTCTTCGGAGCTGCTAGCAGACCCTGTAAGATACAGCGGACACACCAGTTAGTATTGTGTTTGTGTGTTAGTGTTTTTATGCAATTCTCTCAGAACGTCTAAACTTTTTTGCCGTCATGATCATGCTTCCCAAAATCTAAACATGTTGTCTTTGACAGAGGAAATGTAATTCTCTTTGATATTTAAGATTATATATTCTTCATTCAATGTAGATGTAGTGTGTCCCCCACCTGCAGATCCACCATGTCCAGTACCTGGTCTGCTGCCTTAGTGGAAAAGAGAAAACACATTGGATATATGTATGGAGAGAGCCCACATCAATGGATTTATTCATTCATATTTAATACAGATCAATAACCTACCTCCACCCACAGGCTTTAAACCACCGCCAGTAGATGTAGTGTGTCCCCCAGTTGCAGATCCACCATGTCCAGTACCTGGTCTGCTGCCTTAGTGGAAAAGAGAAAACACATTGGATATATGTATGGAGAGAGCCCACATCAATGGATTTATTCATTCATATTTAATACAGATCAATAACCTACCTCCACCCACAGGCTTTGTCCCACCGCCAGTAGATGTAGTGTGTCCCCCAGTTGCAGATCCACCATGTCCAGTACCTGGTCTGCTGCCTTAGTGGAAAAGAGAAAACACATTGGATATACGTATTCTATGGAGAGAGCCCACATCAATGGATTTACTCATTCATATTTAATACGGATCAATAACCTACCTCCTGTTCCCCCCACTTCAGAGCCACCCTGTCCAGTACCTGGTCTGGTTTCTCTTCCTGCGACTAAAAAGAAATGTCACAAATATATGGAATATTTTTACAGACCAAAAAGGAGGTGGTTTCCTTTAACGGAGCTCTGTACAATATTTGAGCATATCTATGATTCAGAGGTTGACTGCACACAGTTCTCAACATATTTTGGTGAAGGTAAACAGAAACTTTTTCTCGTTTACAAGAAAACTCCACAGGGCACCTTTAATTAAGTCACACTAAAACAATGAGCTGACAGCTGCTGTAAAGCTACGAGTCATACCTTTCACATATACACAAACTCATTTGATCCATTGTTGATTATAGCAGCTTTAAGAGCAACAAAATATTAAACATATATTGAATATAGAAAAATATTGATTAATCTTTAATGACAACTCATACAAAGTATCTTTATCACTTCATGTGTCAACACATTGTCCACTTACTGCACGTTGGGCCTGCACTCCAGTTTCCAGATATGCAATAGACTGACTTTTCGGTGCCTGCTCCATCTAGGGTGTATTCATCTTCACATTCATACTGCACTTCTGAATTTACAGGATACAGCTCCTTGTATGTCTGATGAATGATGACTGCATGGGGGATTTTAGGGGGCTCACCACATGCATGGGTACTTTCTGTAAATGAGAAGATAAATCATGAGCAGGGACAGGAGAAGGTAATTGTTGTCATTGGTGACATGGACATTTTTTAACAACAACATATTGGAGTAAGACATCAGACAGACTTACTCTCACAGACCGGCACAGAGGACCATGTTCCATTTATACATTTGGCTGTGGCGTCCAGGTCTTTGTAATCATATCCTTCGTCGCATGTTATCCTGATTGTTTGTTCGTGCTTATACCAACCATTTGTGTTGGCAGAGTATTTTGCGTTGGGGATAGTTGGTGGTATACAAGCGTTTTCGTCTGAGGAAAGAAGAACAAAACTAAAATCAACATGTTAAGACTTTTTATAATGATGTTTGTGAATTATGTTTTTTTAATTTAATTTTATTTATTTAACCTTTATTTTTAGTGCCTAAAATGACATACCCAAATTAAAATGACTGTAGCTTCTGAACCGCTCTGACTACATACATGCATGAGGTCTTGCCAGACAGAAAACTCTCTGAAGTTTCTTGTGAAAGTGTCAGAAACACTCTAGGTGATACAGAGACAGAGTAATGGGCCTCTGAAGTCAGTAAAAAATTCAAGATTTTGCCTAAAAAAAAAAAAAAAAAAGTTTTTCAGGATGAATAACTGTCTGTGGCTTCATCTGAGCAGGTAAATGACACTATGGGGCTGTAGGCACAAACATTGTACCTTATTGAAATCAGGTGTGATTATGATAGCTGATGTTGTTTTTGACACAGAAACACCATAAAATATCACCAAGTAAAGCCATATGAAACAATGTTATTTTTGAAAAGTCGAGAGCTTCCTGAATCCGGCAATACCAAACATCACATGATTTGATGACGTAGTGCGCCTGGGAGATACCATTTAACAGAGGAGGGGGGAGCGAGGACGTTGGCATCCTGGCGGAGTTAGAGAGGTTAACCAGGAACTCCCATTGAGACTGAAAATCTCTTTTACAAGAGAGACCTGGCCGAGGTAGTAGCCAATCGAAACACATTTAAAATGCAACAAATTTAAAATCTAATGCAAAAATCCACACTAAAACAGCTAGTTGTGATGTGAGTCAACGCACCAACGCAATTTTTGGGTAAACAGAGGTCTTCTCCAGGATGGCTTCGTGACGAAAGGAGGCAGTAAACTCACTATCGATGTGCCAGGGGTGCACACCCTATTTTTTATGTGTGCTTAACTAATATTTACAATACACATGTTGGCTCAGTGCCATGTGAAGTGGCAACACATTACAATCAGGGGGCCCCCTCACCCAATCCTGCTTAGGGCCCCCAAAAGTCTTGGGCCGCCCTGAGCAACAACATTACATTTGTATTTTTATCATGATTCAAAGTCGAGTGAACGAACTTTAATATTTTATTCGTAGGTTTACAGTATTGTATTACATTTGACATACAGGCACCTTTAAAACAGCACCATCATGCAGGTATGTGAAAGCCATTTTCATGGTAGCTGATTCCTATGTTTTCATTAAATCTGTTTACCTTTTGTTTTCATTTTATCTTGTATGCATTCTTTGCAGTGTGCACAACTCTTTACAACCACCTTGAATTTAAAGGTTTCAAAGCCCCTTCAGACAATCAGACATAGTTATGAAACACTCACCTATACATTGTGGCTCATGGGACCATGAACCATTATGACATGTGCTCGTTGCCCACCAACCCTCCACTGCTGGTTTCAGTCCGTCATCACAGCCATAACTGAGCGTCATTCCATGAAAATAAGCTTCTTTTTCAGGGACCAAATAACCACCGTTCAGACGGGGAGCGCGACAAGGCTGAGCTGCACTTTGTGCTGAAACACAACCACAAACAAAAGCACATATTAAACACATTTTCAAATTAAAATGTCTCTATGTGACAGAATTGAATGCTCTTACCATTCAGTACTCCTGGAAACCAAACCAGGAGAAATCCAAGATATCTCACACACATTTTGTCAGGAATTAAATCGCTGAGGACAAAGCAGAGTGAAGAGCCCAGTTCACATCAGGACCAGTTAATAATTGTAGAGGAAGTTAGGAAATAGTAAACATTACGCTGGGTTACTGTCATCCTGCTGGACACACAAATGTACAAACAAGCTTTGTGTACTCTGTTCAGATGAGTCAGTGTCTTGATCAAATCAGGTTCCTCACAAATTTTCCTCATCGCCTTAATCTCTTTTTCATGTTCCTCGGGTCATTTCTGAGCAGTTTTTGTGGTGTGGCATGAGACATTGTCCTACTGGGGGGGGGGGGCCCTGCCACTGGGGAGTTATGTTGCCATGAGGAGGTTTGCTTGGTTCGTGGTGTTTGTGTGGGTGGTGCGTGTCAAGTGGTATCCACGTGAATGCCAGGACCACAAGTTTCCCAGCAGAACACTGCATTGCAACAAGATGATCAATATTATTAACTCCACCTGTCAGTGGTTTTAATGTTTTGGCTGATCAGTGTATCTAAGATGAGGGTAAATGATAATCTACAAAACACTGCTCTTGTTATGTGACGTTTGTTGATTTGTTTCAGAACAGCCCCAAATGATTAGTTTTCTAGACAAATCTATGACCCTGTTTACAGTCCAGATTTCAAATTGATTTCCCGGACGGCTGTGATCAGAGGTCAGCATGATGAGATAACGACGCACAGTCTGATGACACGCTTCAGAGACAGAAGGGCAGGCTTCAGAAACAGATGTGAAATTTTGTAAAGATACGTTCAGTCATAAAGCAAACATAAACACGGCATCCTGTCCCATATACGTTCTTCGTCATGTGATATTTACCTTGTGGTCGCACAGTTTGTCTTTGAGTTCCAGCTCAAATGCTGGTTGCCATCTGCTGGATCCCCATGTGCTCTGCATTGTGTTATTCAGTCCTACAAATCGGGCTTTTTAATGGAAGACATTTTGAGATGTCACAGTAAAGCACAGGTACGAATAATAATGGCTGAATTCCATTTAGCAGCTTTAGTTTGCTTGCTCACTGTCCCACTGCCATGGCTTACTGGGACACTTCAATACAACAGAGACATTGTTAAAGTCCCCCTCCACTCAAGAATGTGTTCATGTCTACTGAATGTCTGACTTTGACTATACTGATTTGTTTCCATGCAAAGTTTCTCACCAGAGAGATGTTTTCACATTCCTGTACTGATGGGGGTGATGTCTGTGCACTTCCCTAAAATCTGAGACTCAAACGTCAACACACATATCGATGGTCGATCATAGGGTTTCCACGTTGAGATGCAACGTGCAAGGTACCCTGAGTGCGTTGGTTGTTGACGTTCTGGGACGCTGTGTCTTCAGCCTGTTACATGCATTGTCGTCTTTCAAAATACACTTTGGTTTTCACAGGAAATGTACAGCTTGCATACAGTCTCTTTCAAAGTAAAACGCAATGTCGGTACAACACGACAAATTACATTTTTTTTCCTTCAGCAACAATCACGCGTGGTTACATTCTGCCAACATGCACATGGTTGGGTTAAAGAAAAAATAATAATAACAGGGTTTGGTCTTACGGGAAGCGAACACCGGCCTCCCGGGTGAAAGTCAATGGTTGTTGGACCCATTCACCACACCTACTGCCCACCCTACTTGGACCTCCACCAGCTTAACTTTCGTTGTTGTCCCACGTTTCCTCCTGATTCCACCAGCTGCTTATCATGCCGATGTGAAAGTATGGCTTTTTTGTCTGTGTCTGACGCTGCGAGTCCCTGCCCGAGTCCCGGTTTTCGACGACTTAAAGAGTGAGACCAGGTTGCAACCATATGCCTATGATGTATAAAAAGGCTTGGATGCAGAGGGGACTTTGATAATTCGTTTGAAGATAGATTAAGGAAATAAAACAATAATTGACAAATGAATCTATCTGTTGAGAATATCCCACAGTGTGTTTCTATTTAGTGACCTGTCACAGTTTTTAGAGCAGGGATAGTGCCAAGATTACAATTGTAAAACAAAAAGTTTCAATAAATCTGTCACATAATAATGTGTGTTTTGTAGAAATGTACGATGCCAACATTTTTTCTGGTCACTAGGTTGGGTCATGAAGCCCAAATTACTTGATGCTGAATTAGATAACGTGCCCTCTTGGTCTGATCTGACTGATAACATTAAATCAAAAATGTTACAAACTTGGCTCACAGTTTGCAACAAAAGAGAGTCTACACAAACAATTTAAGGTAAAAAGGTGATTTATTTAAGTAAACCTCCTTCAAAATAAGAAGTAAAGCATGTTGTCGTGTCGTGAGTCAGTGCTGTCAGTGTGTGTGTGTGTGTGTGTGTGTGTGTGTGTGTGTATGTGTATGTAAAACAGAACAAATGAACCAAAGGCAAACCAAACTACACCATGTTGGCCATGTGGCAGCCAGCTGCTCAGTCAGAGGGAGAGAGAGAGCAAGCTGACAACTGAGGCCTTTTATCCACCTTATTTTCACACACGGAAGTAAATAGTGATCACCTTCCGTTTTTTTATGCGTGACTTCCGGTCAGCTGCTTTCCCTCATGCTTTCCCTTACCGGAGCTAACGGTGCAAGCTAATTTTTTTTCAATTTTCAGTTGTTTATGTTAGTCAATCAGTTAGTTAGTTAGTTAGTTAGTTAGTCTGTGTATTTTGTATAACGTTAGATAACTGTGCCCACGTTTCCGTTATAACGGAAATTTATTCCCTCTAAACGCGAATAAATCGCACGTCAATCATAAACTATGAACCAAAAAAGCACAATCTATCCCGAGTGAGACAAACTGCTTGATCCCCGTCTCCAGTGTACCAGCAGAGAACCTGCAGAATCGAATCAGTGAAAAAACACACCGGGCTACACAGCCTCTCTACCTGAGCAGCTGAAGCTGCGGCTCGCACCCTCGACACACAGACACACAGACGGTGCTTCTGCATGCCAGCCACACGTGTGCGCAACTGTGAGAAATAAATATGTGAGGTGTACGCTGCTTTTCTATCTTTTTTTCCCTTTTCTTTCTTTCTTTCTGTCAGCGACATACACTCCTAACACAGGACGGGTTGTTTTAATTGACTGAGTTGATCATTAAGCCATAGTGATGCGCGGATCGGCTCTGATAGCACCTGAATCAGCATGTACGCATCAACCATCCAGCCGTTACAACATGATTGAGCTAGCAAAGCAGTTTTGTGTTGCTATGTGTGGTATTTATTCAGTTTTGGGAAATCACGATGTCTAGAAAGCATCAGTGGCTGCAGCTGACAGGGACAGCTAACGTTAACACTAGCAGCAAAGCTAACATCAGGATCGTCATCCGTTAAAAGCCTCCCGTTGTCGGATACGACATGAAACTACTCCAGTTAGCTCAATCATGTTGTAACTAAGACATCCGCTGGAGAAAATATTTTTTTCACGGGCCACTTTGTGAGTTTAGTGAGTTATTACAGACACGGCTAACGGCTAACAGCTAACGGTTAGCCCAGCTAATCTACGATAACCATGTTATTAATTACACACAGAGAAAATACTAATGTTTGTTCAGTCATTGTGTTTATAGACTTTACAAACATCAGATTAGTCTAAACGGTGATATAGTGACGTGAAAAATGTGATATATACATATATATAGCTAAACTCAGCAAGGTAAACAACAAGGCGATTCCCATTTACACAGTGGTAAGAGTGCTGGACCGGAAGTGTCGCACAAAAAAACGGAAGCTGGCTGCGTTCTGTTTTGCCTCCGTGTTTCCGTGAAAAATAAGGTGGATAAGGTAAGACCACACCCTCAGGTGTGGCCAGGAAGATTGGACGGCCCACCTCTTCAACCACAAGGAAGAGCTGTGAAGGAACAGACACATTAGTAAGGCCGTCACAAAAATAACTAACTTAAAGTCCTAAAAAAGTTTTTAAAAGGTTACAGTTTAACATTTCGTTAGGGCATGTCCATCAAATATCCACCATATTTATGTGTTCAGTGAAAAGACAATCAACTCCTGCATTATGTGGGATTGTTTGTTTTTATTTGATTTCAAATATCAAAACAAAAAGCCAAAAACTGATTATTAAGAAGTCCAACAAACACTTTGTCGGCATATTTAAATCACATTTTCAAAAGTTTCCAGTTAGTGATACATTGACGTGAATCCAAAGGCTGCTGAATCTTCCCCTACATCAGTGATACTCAATTTACGGCCCTGGTACACTGGTGTGTTGTTTTTAATTAACTGAATTTGATGTCCTCAAATCCTAGAAACACCCCTGCATACATCTGACCAGTGCGGAGCCCCTGCAACCGGCCCGGGCCTCCTGTTATTCTTTTTAAATATGGCTGCTAGGTAAAGCACGTTGAGTTTCCCCCTTACACGATAAAGCCTTAACAATAATTCTGGTTACAAGACATTACAGAGATTAAACAATTGTTATAATGCTAAAAAATATGTGAATGAATTAAAATTAAAATTAAAATTAGAAACAGATATGAAATGTGCTTCTTTGAAAAGTAGATTCAGGACTAACACCCACCCTCTTTAGCTCAAACCAGAAAACTATATAAATTATACACCACATTCAACTTCTTTTCAGCTTTAAACACAGAGAATTTGCTCCCACATTATGCAGGCAGTTATAGATCAAAATTAAAATCAGAATCGTTTTGTTGAACCCAACACGGTGTGTGACAGCATAATCATAACATTACTGTCTCTGAAAAGCTTCCAGGCTGTTTTCAGTCAGTGGTGAGAAAATCCAGAGGTGGCAGTCATCTTCTTCTCGGTGATACAGCCTCAGCAAACATCCTGTTATAAGACAGAGGCTTTAAAACCCAATCGCCAGAAAAAAATTGTCATTTTACGTTTCTGCAAACTAAGGATAAGTGACATTTGCACATTACTATATAGCAGAGACGTTAAAAAAAATGCTGTGGTGAGTGTGTGGATATGTTTAGGCACAAAAACCACCTGGTTATGGTTGGGAAAAGATCAAGGGAGCTTCCTTGGTCCATTATTATTCTCACTTTACATGCTGCCACTTGGTGACATCATTAGAGAACACAATGTCTGTTTCCATAGTTATGCAGATGACACCCAACTGTACATCTCTGCTGAGCCAAACGATGCTGCAGCCATAAACTCCATTAGTAACTGTCTTTTGGCAATAAATAAATGGATGAGCAATAATTTCTTAAAGTTAAATGAAGACAAAACTGAAATCCTGCTTGTCGGCTCTAAAACAAAAAATATGGGGAATTAAACTT